GTTGTAAGCAAATCGATTGTGCGCGCTCCGTGTTGCCATAAAGCAAGTATGCAAGTATTATTAACAAAATATTATTAACAATATAAGTATGGGTATTGCGTCGCAAAATTAATTAATTAAATTACTTTTTAAATTACACTTTTTAGGTAAATTTGTATAATTTATATTAAGATTAAAATCTGTGCACCCTAAACCGGTTGATTGTGGAGTTATTTAACGGATTTCCATTTGCTTAAAACATGTTCTGCAAAAAATATATTGGCCAGGTAGAGAACCATCTAGTACATGAGAGTCATTAAATCAAAAAAAAAAAAAATTGACGAGCCAGCAGTTCAATAGTGGAGCCTTTTTTATCGGGAAACTAGAAAAGAATTACTCATTTCTTCAAAGCGATTAGCTGAACCTATTTGAATGCTCGGCAGGGTAAGTGAAAATAAAAAGGGAAAGTTGGCGGTGCAGGCAGCCAAATACAATTTCACACTTCGTCTGGCGCATTGTGCCTTTACGCACGTGCCTGGCCGTTCCGAGAGCGCGTCACACGCAGCGTATGAGTGATTTTTCTTGTTATGTTCTCTGCCAACTGCTTTTAATGTGCCACCCCTGCCGCCTTGGACCATATTTCTTGGCACACACTTTCTCTGCTTTTGTCGTTGTGCCTACCTTTTTGTTTGCTTTGTGGCCCCGTGCGTTTAATTAATTGACTGGCCACGGTCGAGTTGCTGCATCCAATAAAATTAACTCACCGCTTTTTTTTTTTTTTTTGCTTTTTTTATGCCCCACAGTTTCACTTTGTGCTTGACTAGTGGGCAATTAAAACAACGCTTGACAGCTTTGCTGGACACTTAATTTACTTATTTCTTCTCCTTTTTGTTGATATTGCATTTGTTGGTGGTGTTGTTGTTGGCGTGCTTCAATGTGTGCGCGCAGCTCGGTTGCAAAATGTGCTTCACAATTTTTTATGCAATTATGCCACAAAATTGTGTTCATCAAAAGGCTTTCAACGGAAACGCTCACATATGAAGCGTCTATACATGTTCACATACAAATACTAAGACAAGCAGGTAGGCAGCCAGTCAGCCATTTTATGTGGGTGTGTGTAGCTTTTTGCGCGCATTGACAAATTTCTTAGCATATAATGCAATTTGGCTACGGCTCGCAGGATGCCAGAGCCATGTAGATTGCACAGGCAAGTGTGTAGGCCTTTGTCTGCTCTTACTAATACTGAAACAAAATTGTGTATATGTACGTATATCTATTGTATGCACTTGAATATGCGTTCATTTTTTATAGCCGAGCTATAACTGGATTGAATTGAAACCTGTCTGCTCGCACGTCTAGCATTGAATTGCAACATTGCCGCATTTACATGTTGCGTTAATAATTCGCAGCTCAATGAATATACACGAATTTTTATCATGATTTTATTGTTGTTTTTGCACCACGCCTCAGGCCACAACATATGCATGCATATATGCAAAGTTTAAGCGCTTTATTATATTATGAAAATCATCAAATGGGGCCCCCATTGAATGACCACAAATGCATTGCACATACGCCAGATGGGCAGACATTTAATTGCTTGACACAATTAAGTTCACATTTTTCTCTTTGTTTCTCTTTATTTCAAAAATATTGTTAATTAAATTTGAATTTAATATTCCTGAACGCGCTTACCTTCTGAAATTTACATTTATTATTTTCACGAATTAATTGTAAGTTAGTGAATTAATTATTATAAATTAATATTGTACTCCAGTGTAAAACCAGTGCGTCACTTATATATGGGTATATTTAATATCTTAGTTGATTAACTCTATACTCAATTGGGGAAATTGCAAAGCTCTTTATTTATACATATATTCGTAACAGCACTAACAATTTGCATATACCGCATAATTATGTTTGATTGTTATAAGTTAAGAAATCTTTTAACTTATACATTTCACTTCAAAACACTTAACGCCCAAAATTCGCGCTAAGCTTAACTTCCGCCGCCAGAACACTTCAACACACTTCAATCAAGGCTTGAATGTATCGAAGTATGGTCACAGTTAGGTGGAGATAGGCATTCGCTTTGGACACATCCACGCCACGACGCGTTTAAAAACGAACTGCACACGTCTGGACTAAATCACAGTCCGAACTGCTGGTAATTGTGGGCTTAGAAGTTCACCACGCGGGGCACGAATGCCGCTCGGCTGAGCTCGTGCTGGCGATGTGGGTCTGTGGAGCAGCAATGAAAAAGGGGCACTGAAAAGTGAAAGCAGTAACAGTTATTGAGGCAGGTTAGTAAGTTTAAGAGAGTTACCTTGTGGCAACACATTCCAGCGCTTTATATTGTGATGTTGATTACATCGGAAGTACTTTACTATAATTGATAAGAAATAGAAACTAAGCAATCTATGATCAGAAAAATCAAGTACTTTAGTGCAACGTTTCTATAAAAACAAGATGATATAGTGGTTATATCTGGTCTAGCCAAAATTAGAATTGTATTTTCAAGAAGTGTCAGGCTCTTTTATTTTTGGAGTAAATTAAAGTATATGCATAATCAGTAAATCGAGACCAATCAAGTTAGAATGTCCAGCTATCCACCTGTCCGTTGCAATCACTCACTTCTGAGCCAAAAATTTAAGGCCTATCGCGTTAAAATTTTGATTCAGTACTTCGCTTTGTTGGACACTGAGAAAGCTGTCAAAGAATTATTTAAGAAGAAATTTTGTATTGGTGCACAAAGCAAAAGTTAAATTTATAATGAATATAATTAAACAATAAAGTTGTATACCAAAGGATGTACATATGCCTAATTTTGAATGGACGAAAATATCATTTTAATATTATTATTAGGTGGAATAAAACGTTCACATTTTAGGAATTGCAATACACGGATAAATTAGTGTAAATGATTACATTCGATTTGTATTTCAACGGATAAATTCGTATTATGCTATATTGGAGTGACATCGTTGATACATTTAATTAACAAAGGTGCTTGTCTGTCAATCAAGTGAATAATCGTTTTAATATGCATTTCAAGGTATAACATTATTACCTTTATTAGTTAATTATTTTACTTCTAAATCTGTGTATGCATAAATATACATTTGTGAATATCTTAAAAGATTAAAAAACGGTCGGAATTGTATCAGGTTGATATCATTCAAAAACATTTCCATTCTATGTTTGCCATTTCCAAAGCATGCGCAGTATTCGCACTTCTCCTTCGCTCTCTCGCTCATCCATGCCCCATGTAACAGAAGTTGTGGGTGTGGTGAGTAAGAACTGAACTGATAAGCGGTGATAAGAATGCATTGCACGAACAACAGCAACAACAACCATACCATACCAACATACGGCCCATTTTACTTTAATGGATGCTTTGCCAGTTAATGAAGCACAAAAAAGAAGAATTAAATTATCTCATCAACGCATCGTCTGACAGCGCAACTAACTAACTAACAAATCAAACAGACAACGCTATAGATGCAATTAGTGCCCTGCTCTTTCATAATTAGTGAACTACCTCAACCTCAATTATGCAGTTAGCCCCAGATGGCATCAGATGCGACTGCGACCCTTACAAGTATTGTTGTTTTCTATGGCGCTAAAGCTTTTCATACGAAATTCGCAGCCATTGTGCATAGTAGTTTTTTGACTGTGGTATGGTGATGGGTGGGTGGGATGGTAAAGGGGTGCCTTTTAATTATGATAATTACATTGTTGTAGTGCTCATTTGCTGACAGTCACTGCATTGGCTGTGGCAGCCACAACATCGTAGCTAGCTACGCAGTGCGCCTTTCACACTCTCGGCAAAATTTAAAATTTGACTGCATAATTTGCTGCACTTTTATTGCTCGCAGCAATTCATGTTAATGGTGTTTTAATGACCATTGGGCCGGTATTCTCGCAAAAGTCATATCCGTTGCGTCTTCTCGTAATTGGGTTATTGTTTTAATGGCCTGCAGTCTTTATGGTTGACATGGATGTTGATTTGAAAAGTTTCTGCTTGCTCATACGCGTACATACGAGTATGTACATGCATGGAAAAACAATGCATATGCCAACGAAAAAGTTTTTGATTCAAGCTGCGAGCGAAAATAGGAAGAGAACTGATACAAAAATAAAAATATAACATTGATATTTATGTAAAGCATGGCTTGGTGTCGAGTGTGAATTGTGCTTTTGTTGTTGGCGACTGGCCATAAAGCCAGACATGCAACAATTTATGGCATTTTCAACAATATGACAACATAATTTTCTAATTATCTATACTCGTACTTGTATGCGTACTTGTATGCATATCCTTTTTATCTGTATGTACAAATGTGTGCATGAACACTTGCTAATTGCAACTAGAGCCCCTAACAGCTTTGGCTTTTCCGATTCCAACAGCATGTGATTTAATGCGTTTCAACTTCGCATTCATGCAAATAAAATTGACATGCGCTCATAAATTTTGCAGCACACTTTTGAAAGTTAGATATGCAAACACAACACATCCCGCTGACAGCATGAATGAATATTGTCAGTTCCATTAATTATAAATAGTTATATATTGTTAAATATTTTATTATAAAATAAAAAGTGACACAAATTTGCAAATGTCTGAAAATTGGGTTTAATTTTATTTGCTTTTGCAATTTCACTTAAATAACACATGCCTTTTTCAACACACATAGCACAACTTTCAAATAAATATTTAACTAATTGAAGCTATACAAAGAACTTTAAGAATTTAAAGCATTTGTTTGATATTTGAAGTGCTCATTTGTGTAACGAACACCTGACCATTTTAAATGACACTTTCCCTAGTTTTGGGCACATTATTGCCATGCATATTGAATGATACAAGTATATTAATTATGACAGCCACGCACACGTAATTGGATAATCATACAATTAAAAGCAATTAGACATAAAAAGAAACGATAATTCTAACCGGCACGTCTTATATAAAAGGTCACAAGTTAAATGCTGCGGAGCTTACACGCTTCTTCGCAATGAGTGAGAGTATTAACAGTCTGAACTTCTTCAGAAGCCATTCATTTCTATGGAAGTTTCTGGGTGCATCGCACAAACAAACTAAATGGCGCATTCCCTATCTGGCATTCACCATTCCATTGAATATTCTATTTACGTTGGGATATCCTTTTCACCTGGGCATGGCGGTTTTTCGTAATGGCAACATGTTGGATGACATCAACAATTTTACTACCTTTGTCACCTGTGGTGCCTGTTCCATCAAGTTCGCATTCTATATCTTCAATTATGACAAGGTTGCTAAAATGGAGAAACTCCTACAGCTTCTGGATACTCGTGTGACCGGTGAAAAGGAGCATGAAATCTACAATAGGGTTAAAACGCAGTTGCGCATGATCTTAGTTATCTTTGTGTCTATTTACGGGCCAATTGCACTTTTGGCCGAACTCACCTTTTTGACTCAGGAGGAGCGAGGATTAATTTATCCGGCCTGGTTCCCATTTGACTGGCGTAACTCAACACGCAATTATTATATTGCCAATATGTATCAAATCGTGGGAGTAAGCTATCAACTACAACAGAACTACTTGAATGACTGTTATCCGGCAGTTATGCTCTGCTTAATTACGGCCCACATCCGGATGTTAAGCATTCGTATCGAGCACTTGGGCACGGACAAGAAGATTTCTGAAGATGCTTCCGAACAGGAGCTTGAAGCTTGCATAACCGATCACAAAAATTTGTTGGAGTGAGTATTCTAAATCTTTACAATAAATCAGCTTGTTCTGAATAAATAAGTAACTGAATTCCACATTTCATTTCACAAAATTCGCACGCCTGATGGGTAGTTTAATATTCTCAACATTCGTTCTGTGTATTGAACACACCAAAAGCATTGAATTATAAATAAATGAAATGATAGCGCCTACACATTAAATAAATGTATGTACGTACATATGTTTTGTTCGTCCCTAGACAACACAAGTTTATTTATTTTTTCTCTTTTTCCTCCTCGTTCCCTCGCTAGAGAATTTTGTCTAAACTGTCCATATTCATGAAATAAACGTATACGTAATTTTTTGCCATTTCTCGGTGAATACTATGAGAAGCTAATGGCAAAACGGAAATTAGAAAGTGAAACGTGCGCGACATTACGAGTTCATTGTTTTAAACTTTCCTATCTTTTGCAGGCTGTTCAAATCTATCGAGTCCTTCATGTCGCTCCCTATGTTCGTTCAATTCACTGTGACTGCGCTAAATGTTTGCATAAGCATAGCGGCTCTGCTCTTCTTCGTCACGGAACCGATGGCAGTCACATATTTCTTTTTCTACATGTTGGCCATGCCTTTGCAAATCTTTCCATCCTGCTATTTCGGCACGGAAACCGAGTATTGGTTCGATCAGCTCCACTATGGTGCTTTCAGTTGCAATTGGATCACACAACGGCGCAGCTTTAAGAAGAAGATGATGCTATTTGTGGAAGGCACACTCAGGAAGAAAACGGCCAAGGCGGGTGGAATGTTGCGCATCCATGTAGACACCTTCTTCTCAACTCTAAGATTTGCATACTCTCTGTTCACCATCATTTTGCGAATGAGAAAATGAACAGAGGAGTTACTTTGCATATTTATTGGAAGAACTATAAAACTAACCAAACTGCTGAGTATTGAGTACATTTTCTCGAAGGGGTTACAAAACTTAAGATACAGGTGATCGTACCTGACAACTAAATAGCTGCCTCTTAAGTTTATTGTTTATATGTTATTTTTTAGCTGATACGTCTTGATAATACGTTTATGATGCGTAACGTTACGTAAGCGTTTTCACGGCTCTGAGAAATTCGTAGCTTGCAACGTTTACAGGCACAAAACGCATGTATTAAACGTTATCTTACATTTATAATATTATCTTCAATAATCGCATTCAAAAACTGGCAAACTCTGTACTCCTTTCAGAACATAAAACTTCATGATAAAAGAAGTACAGTTTGTGCAAACTTAATAAATTTGAGGGTTTATGAATAAGGTAAATTTAATAAATAAAAACCATATTAATAATAATTGAAAATCAACAGGAAAGGAAAGTCAAGTCAAGAGGGCTCAAGTTTTAAGGGTATTTAAGCGCACACTCCCACTTCTGAGATCTTTCTGTTCATACAGACGGGTAGACGGACCAAGCAGCAACGACTCGGCTTGTCACCCTGTTCAAGAAAATATGTATATAGTTTGTGGGGTCATACAGTGTATAAAAATATATAATTAGTTTATTTTTTATAATTCTTTGTTTTACAAATATTGGAAAAACTTGCTGTGCAATCAATTTTTTGTGTACTTTTGTGTTTGGTGCAATAATTATTTGACATTTGAAATTTCCACATGTCATGTGAAGAGATGCACCTTCGTGGTCATATTTAATACAACAACAATTAAAGCTATCAAACAGTGCTAATTACGTAATGGCACAATTAAAAGCAATTACGCATTAAAAAATTCTATCGGCGGCTATAAAGTCAGGCGTATTCGGTAACAGAATAACCTACACAACAATTATTTTTTACCTTTAATACCACATATTTGTAGACTATGGGTATCATATAAACATAAAATAAGAAAGAAATAATAACTGTCCGAATGAGTTTTTAGGGTCAACCAAAGTTTCCATTTGTCCGGGGAATGCTCATAAAAGCCATCTTAAATACATTCCGTCTGGGTATAAAACCGATATAGCCTTTTATTTATAGCATACAGTACTCTAAAAAATGTCATCCATACTATATGTCAGGTATAAAAGGGTAAAAGTTAAACGCTCAGAAGCTCAAACATTTCATCGCAATGACTGAAGCTATCAACAGCTTGAAGTTCTTTAAGATCCATACATTTCTTTGGAAGTTTCTGGGCGCAGCGCACAAGCAAACAAAAAAATCAAAATGGCGGATGCCCTATCTGGCGTTTACCATTTCGATGAACATTTTGGTTACGTTTGGCTATCCTTTTCACCTGGGCATGTCGGTCTTTCGTAATAACAACATGACGGATGACATCAAAAATTTGACTACCTTTGTCACCTGTGGTGCTTGTTCCATCAAGTTCGCATTCTATATCTTCAATTATGACAAGGTTGCTAAAATGGAGAAACTGCTAAAGCTTCTGGATGCGCGTGTTACTAGTGAGAAAGAGCACATCATATACAAGAGTTTGGGAAAACAGCTGGTAATGATATTGTTAACATTTGTGTGCATCTACACGCCAGTCGCAATTTTTGCCGAGGCCGCCTTTTTGACCCAGGAGGAGCGAGGACTAATTTATCCGGCATGGTTTCCCTTGGATTGGCATAACTCTACGTGCAATTATTATATTGCCAATGTATATCAAATCGCGGGAGTTAGCTATCAAATACAACAGAACTATGTTAGTGATTGCTATCCGGCAGTTATGCTCTGCCTTATTTCGGGGAACATTAGGATGTTAGGTATTCGTTTCGAGCATTTGGGCAAGGACGAGAATATTTCTATGGATGCTCACGAAAAAGAGCTGGAGGCTTGTATAACTGATCATAAGTATTTGTTGGAGTAAGTATTGCCGGTTTGTTAATACATTCAAAAGCCAATTCCAAAAGGATTATCTTTGATTTTATATAAAACATCAGAGTTTAAAAAATTACAAAATTGAAGTTATACTTCGAGCTTAGATTTCTTGATTTTTATTGCAAATCCAAAACTGAAACCAATAGTTTTTCGCCTTAACTTATATTGTATTAAAAACCTATGGCTAATAAATTAATTCTTTTCAGGCTCTTCAAAACCATCGAGTCCTTTATGTCCATGCCCATGTTGGTGCAATTCACGGTAACTGCCGTAAATGTGTGCATCAGCATAGCTGCTCTGCTCTTCTTTGTCACAGAACCGATGGCTAAAACATATTTCTTTTTCTATGGCTTGGCCATGCCGTTACAAATCTTTCCCACCTGTTATTTTGGCATGGACGCGGAATACCGGTTCGATCAAATTCACTATGCGGCCTTCAGCTGCAATTGGATAACACAGAGGCGTAGCTTCAAGCAGAAGCTGATGATTTTTGTGGAGGGCTCGCTCAGAAAGAGCACGGCCATGGCAGGTGGAATGCTTCGCGTCCACATGGATACTTTTTTCTCAACTCTAAAATTTGCGTATTCACTCTTTACAGTTATTTTGGGAATGGGAAACTAAAAATTGCATTAGTTTACACTTTATACATTTTTAATTAAATTATCTTATGAAGGAATATAAATGCATCAAGTAAACCAGCAATAAAGCAAATACTGGTAATTGATTTTGACGAAGGTATGTATATGAGGAATACGAAATGCGCATTGCCTACGAAGGGCAGCTAGTGGTCGTGAATGTTTGTAATCACGGGCGTGGTAAGTTGTGTTTGTGTTTTATTTACTTAAGCAATGTAAAGGCATTGAACGACTTTGGAGGCTTCGTGTTTCCTAATACGCTTGAATCCAGCACTAAGTCATGCCGAGGCTGTAAAGTCAACATTACAGAATAGGGAAGACCAAAGCAGCTTGTGAGTTGGCAAAAAAAAAGGGCAACATGTATTTATAGCCAAACGCAATTGGCAATGGTCAGACAGTCAACCCAAAGAAGTAGCGTCTGTTGTTGGGGATCGGGGCAGAGCAACGCAACGCAACGCAACGCATAAGGCAAATCGATTTGATTATGTTAAGCAGAGAGAGTAGTAGGAACAGTAAGGGCAGCTTCTAAGTTGATTTGAATTTATATCAAAACGTCTTTAGCTTACACACAGACACACATCTGCATGCAAAGCACGTAAAGGCAAACTTATACATACATACATATAGCTATATATAGACATGCTTATTTAACTTTGCTGATTTTACAGTTTTCTCTTAATATTAGGCGTGAGTTTAATCACAAGCGCCAAAAAAATGAGGATGCTTTTAATGCTTAATCAAGTTTGTTGCATACCTTAGGGCGCTGTTCAGGGATCCGCATCGAGCGCTGTTAACAAATTAACAATGAAACTACTTTCGTGCATAAGCCAATGAACAATTCAGCATTTAGCAGACTCAGCTGTTTCTCGTCCGCAAGAAATTGTATTTCGCCACTTGGCTACTTGTTTATTTGAGCCATCAGCAGGGTCCTGCCACTCACTCACTCTCGTCAGCATCAGCATAAGCATCATCGTAATTGTCATCATCATCATCATCATGAGCAACACCGACTTAAGCATCAACTAACCGCACAAGCAAGCTATGTAAGTCATGCAAACTGTTACTGAAAAGACCACTGTTTCTTCCCTTGGCCCACTCCTACCTCATTCCACTGCTGCCTGCGCCCTCGCCCAAGTGTCTGTATTTATGTTGAATAAGTTTGGTCTGACATTACCAAACTGCTGGCTGATACTTGTAGCGCACACTCAAGTTCCTCAACTGTCTTGCAATTCTGGCACAGACATATTGGTCGCTCTGAGATTGACCCTTTGTATGCTTAGCATTTGGAACGCTGTTGTCAGAGCAACGCATTTATGTGTGTAATTTATTCCTAAGCAAAATATTTATACTTACTAGTAAAAGTGCACTTAAGTTGGTCGAGCGCTGCACAAATGAATGTGTTCCAAACTCTCACATCTGCTTCAGAGCAACAGTTGTGCCTAGAATTGAAACGAATTCACAAACAGCTATACCGAGTAAAGCTTAAACGTAAAGTTCGAGTGAAATTTTAAACGCCTCGTCTGCTATTCAATACTTCCGTTCTAAAAGAGCGGAAAACTTTGCTATCAAATTAATAGTTTCCTTCTGACACAAACCACACACTCAACTACCCAACCATCCGAGCCGCACAGCCCTTAACTTTTGGATCAAACTGTTCAAATTTCCAGCGAATCAAAAAATACGCAACTATGCAACTTTCCGGGAAAACTTTTGTCAACGGCTTAACTGGCGGTGCGTGAACATGGCAACGACGACTAGAGACCTCACATAATGATTCGGCCCTGGGGCACTCAACATTTTGCAGTATCTGGTCGCTCAACACGTTGACGCGTAAGTCTCTCTGGCATTGTAGATGCCCGCCGCCTCCGGCCAGAGTACTCCAGTAAATTACAGCTCTTAATAGTCAACATGGCAACATACACTCAGGAACGCTCTTACCTCTTACCTAGTAGAAGTGTACGTTATGTATTAATTCTGAAGCTAGTTAATGAAGTCTCGATTGTTATTTCTTAATTTTAACTTTTTTTTCAATAGACCCCATAAATTGGCATATGTTTTTAAACATGCTGATTAGGGTAGCTTGAATGAGTAGAGTATTACAATAGTCCCTTATTAAATCGGCTTCTTTCACATCAGAAGCATTTGGGATTTGATGTCTTTTACATTTTTAAATAGTGTCTAAAATGTCATTTCTTCATATAAGAAAAATTATATTGAATAAAAAATAATGAATAGTCGCTCTGCATGCAGCACGAATTCAGTAATTCTTACTGAATTACTTGTATTATTAAAATTTAGTAAGTAAACTAAAAATAGGAAAAGAGGTGCAAAATAAAGATATTTTAATATAAATAAGCAATAGATCTAATAACGACTCAACAACTAACTTTCTTCAGCTAAACCAACACAGCACTCCCTAATTCATGAGTTCATACAAAACAGAGAATTTTACAACCAAAATAAGAAAGTCACTTAACGAAAGCACGGACGAGCAATGGACTGAGCACATAGACACACACACAAACGGCACATTATGTGGCTCAATACAGCAAGTGAAAGTTAATTTCGCAGTCAAATCCGAAAACCAGACGAAATGCGTAAAAAGGCAACACAAATATCCGCCGGCAGCATCCAAGTCCAAATCTTAAGCCCTGCTGTGTGCACTGAGTTGTCGTTGTAGGGCGCCAGTAAAAACATTGGCGCCGAACGGTATGTATGAGCTAGGATGGGTGTGTATGTGTGATCACGTAAATGCTTGCTGGAAAACTTGTGCGAATTAACAGCCAAAGTTTGCTTTGCTCCAGGAAGATACTTTGCGCTGACAGAGAACTTATATAATTCGTATAGCATGGAACTGCCGTTGGCAAGTGACAATAACAGGAGTCAGCTACTCGAACTTGTCGACAGTTGGTCGTCGTCTGTCGCGCAACCAACGAGGCAAGTAAAAGGCTTGACAGCCAACGCTTGTGCCAAATGTCAAATTACTATATTTTGTGGCAGAATCCAAATGAGAGTCTGCATTTTTAAAGCTAAAGCTACGCACGTGGCCGCTCTATGTACTACTTATAAGTATACCTAAACATTTATAGCTCACAACTTTATGATTGCCAGACGGGCAGATTAGGAGATACGCAGAAAAACAAACAGTGTATGCATAATGGATGCTTTGGAACTATAACTCATTATAGATAATGAGCGCACTCAAGCCGAACTTAAGTGAAAAGGTCAAAATTAGATGGCGACGGGAAAGGACAGCGGGATAACAGAAAACAGAGCCACCAACACTTGTGGCAAGTAAGTGTCAACTTGGGCTTTGGCAACGGATTATTTCTGACTGCCTCACTGGTTGACTATTTGACTGGCTGCTGCAAGTGACAGGCAGCTGTAGGTCTGGACGAAGCAAATATAATTACACTCTCACTTGACTGTTTCGTTTGCGCACGGAGTGGGAGTAACTTGGTTAGTTGGTTTTCATGAAAACTTTACAAATAGATTTACACAATGGTTCGTTAAACGGTGGCAATAATGTTGAGTGCTTAAGCAAACACATAGATTCTTAGTGTATGAGAAGGTGTGTATGTTTTTCTCACACAAAGTCTTTTGGGGTCTTCTCGAACAACTGATTGGCTGTTTAAAGATGAACTCATTTTTAAATTAAGCTGCAAACTATTAATTGGTGTTTTATTGCGGTTTTGTTTATCTATATACTTGTTTATAACATTTTTTTTTTGTAGTTTTTCATGATGGAAAAATCCCAAATCAAAAAATAAACGCACATGTGAAACAACTGATACAAACATGTTGATAACTGTGCTACACAAAAAAAGAAAATTCGTAATAAAGGTATAATATTCAATTTTATAAAGCCACGTAAAATGAAAAAATACCAAGGAAAAAAAAATAGGCACATTGGTGTTAAACAAGTGATACAAACATGTGGATAATTGTACTAGAAATAAAATGTGAAACAAAACCACATACATATACGCATTTTATTATTTAAAATTCTTTCAATTTATTCGAATAATTGGATTTTTACTTTTTTAGGGGCTTATCAAATTTTTGTGGAATTAAAAAAAAATATGCGAGACGAATTTATTAGTTTTAAATTTGGATTTCCGTAAGATATCTGATTAAAACGTATGATTTATGCAGCTTACCATCCTTTCGTGAAACCTGTAAGGATAACAGTTTTTAGAAAATATTTACAACATATGCTAAGATAACAGATTTTTGGCCAAATATATATTTGGAGACATGTATGTCTCTACAATTTTTATAATGATTGTTTTTTTAGTGCACTTGTCTTTCTTATCACAATCAACATACAAGCGAGACCGTTAACACGTGCGTCATAAATGGTAATGGAGTAAGCGAGCCTGTTAATACGAGGACCGGCCCAAACGGCATACGTCATTTTAAGAGTTCATGTCGACACCAGCGGGGCATGATAAAAACAATAAACGCTGCTGACGGCAGGCAACAAAATAAAGTTGCCAACAGCAAGGCATATGCAAATGTCAATAATAAATACAAATATAAAAAATAAATAAAAAGGTAAACGTCATCACCTTTCATACTGGTACATTACACATACGCACATTGCGCATACGCCGCGTGTGACGCCGCAGCCATGCTTGCGGGCAATTATTACACGACTGCGCCTTCGCCATTGGCGTCGCATTGTCATGAATGAGCAAAGCCGTGCATGTCGTTGACTATCACTTGCTGTAGGGGGAGGGTGTGCCCCAATGAAATTGGCGGATTTGCTTACATAAAACGCAGCCAGACAAATACGAATACCGGAGGGCGAGGTAAGGAAACAGCCACAATTGAAATTTTAAATGCGCCCCAGGCAAAATGGCTGCGACAGCAATGATGATGATTCTGTTCATGATGATGCTGATGATGTTTATGCAGATGGCATTGCCATTGCTTCACGCGAATATCACAATGTGCGTATTGTTGGCGCAACAACAACAATAA